ATACATATATATATATATATATATATATATATATATATTAATTGTTGCGCTATATCATCATTTCAAAATCATCGCACTTTTCACATAAGGCATTATCTCAAATAGACTAAGCTTAAAAACAAATGTTCAATGAGCAGAAAAATAAATGGACCACCCTGAATAACTTTTGATCTAATAATTGGATCTTCACGTTCTGGGACTCAATCTTTAAGATTCGAGGGGGTGACGTCAAATATGCTAATTAATTAGTGCAGATGATAATTTAACTTACGAAATCAGGCACAAAAACACATTTTCTCTGAATAAACATGCATTTTTTTGATAGATTCGGATATTTGACCTTCATAATATATAGAGTAGCTGCAATCTGGGAAATATGATCCGTATTGTTTGGTTAGGTGAGTATTACAAAATCATACGCATTAATGCTAATTTTACTTTTTTGCGTATTACACCCCGTCTCAAGAACATTTTAAGTCAATTGAAAAATTTTTGCAGACAATTATAAATTCATTTATCCAAAGATTATTTTAAGCAAAAATAACTTTAGTAAATAATTATTATTATCTAGTACTATTTTTTAATTATTATAATTTATTGTTATATTTAATAATAGTCGACAGATTTAATAATAGTTATATTTACTAATAGTTTTGACATGATTTTAAAGAATGTAATTTTACATAGCAAAATTCAAAATTTAAGCGAAATCGTTCCATTAATTTCTGAGAGATGGATTTTTAAAAAAGTCATGTTTTTAAATTCGATTTCCTAGGAACTATTCGTCCCATTTCACTTAAAATCTGCGTTTTGCCATATAAAATTGCATTCTTTAAAATGGTGTAAAACACTGTGTTCCTTACTATTCATGTTTTTTATACTATTATTAAATGAAATAATAAAGTGTAATATTTATTTACCAAAAGTTCATTTTGCCATGGAATTTTCCCTGCATAAACGGATTTCATAAATGTGCACTGAAATTTTTTAAATCGCTTAAAAAGGTCTCGAGATATGGCGAAATAAGCAAAAAGTAAAATCAACGTTAAGGGGTTCAATTTTTGGACTGCTCTCCTGACCAAACTATTGAGATCTTACTTCCAAATCTATCAACAACAAATAAATAAATAAATAAATAAAAAATCGAAATCTGTCGAAAAAAGGGTATGTTTTTCAAAGATAGTGCATATTGTGTCTTATTTCATAATTTAAAATACCGACTGCACTTATTAATTAGCTTATTTGAGATCACCCTTTTTTTAAAGTCATCGTTGAACAGCTGACCCTATTTTTGTTGTTACGACTACTAATTTCATAGTCACTAGCTTTGTAATTTTAAACCAAAACTAGAAGACCAGGAAACTCCTGGATCAAGTTTTAGGAGAAATTTGCCTTCGTGGAGGACTTTTTGGTGGAACTAACCCGTATTTGAGTGACATAGTGAGGAAAACCACGGAAATCTCCCTCGGTTAGCCTGACGGCAAAAGGACTCTCTAACACATGATCCGTCTACCATTGAGGATATTTTACGACAGCACTGTGATCGGTGTGAGCTGGGTGCGGAATTCGCATCTACCAGCCATCGCTGGAATTCGAACCCGGTTCACCTCATTGGAAGGCAAATACTCTATCCCCTGAGCCACTACGGCTCTAAAAGATCATCATTTCGAACGATTAAGAATGATTCCTATGACATGAAGATCCGATCATTTGATTAAAAGTTATTCAGAGTGGTCTGAGTTCATGCACTGTGCATGCACGAGACGTCTGAACCAACTTACAGAATATACTGAATGATTCTTACGACCACTGTTATTTAATAAATTCTGAGTCCACCACAGAGCTTTGTTAGTTATTTTTAATGTTTGAAAAACAAAGCAAAATGTAATAATTTTTATGTTTTTTTTTTTTTTTTAATTTTAAAATTTTCTTCGGCATAGCAAATTTTGTTGGAAAATTATTTCAGTCAGATAGCACGGTAGCAACTACGACCGTACATCATGAATTATAAGTAAAGAGATAGACTTGGGAAGAAGTAAATAATCACAAGAAACTGAATTGGAAATATATACTCGATTATGGATATCTTTAGTTTTTTCAAAAATTATTATGGTGTAAAAGTCTACATGTTTAAAGCACTCAAAATAAGGCACCCATTTTCAATACCCATCAGATGTGAATTAGAAAATCAAAATAGTTTTCTTCAATATTATTTTGCTGATTAGCTTTGTGTTGATCTTGATTGTAACCGCTTTGTTTTAAGCGCTAGCCTAAATATAATATTTATTGAAGCTAATGTAATTTTTCTATTATCAAAGATCATCTCTATGTTATTAACATAATTGCAGTTTCTAAAGAAAGGGGGACATTTTGAAGAAAATAGAATCACATTGATAGTGATTTGTAATATTTTTAGAATAAGTGGCCACTATGCCAGAAAGGGTGAATGGCTATATGGACAAAATGTCTTGCTATTTGCTATCAGAACAGTTCCGAGAAAAAGAATGATGTGCAGTGAGTAAAATTCCGCATCAAATTACTATATAAAGTAATGGCACTTTGGATGCATAAATCGTAAAATGCATTTCTTTAAAAATTACGTTTTTTTAAACAACTCCCCATGCTCCACAATGTATAACATAAGGCTTACAGAAGTAAGTGGACAAAGTACAAATGAAAATAAAAATTACAAAGAAACAAAATAAGAATTAAAAGTTTAATCTGTATACAAAATTTCGCAAAATAGTAAGGTAGTCAGTGCACAAAGAGGATAAAACAGGTGGCCAATAAATACCTGAAAGTCCCAATTCCTTTTTTAAACTTTCTTTTTGGCTTGAGTATAGCTTACAATAAAAAATAATACATTCAGTGTCCTGTTCACATGAGCAAAGATTATCATTTATCAAATTAAACTTAAGCAAGTAACTTTTAAAATTACCGTGACCAATAGGAATCTGGAACAGCTTAAAGTCAGCAAAAAAAGTTTTACACTTTATCCAATGAAAAATAGTTGGGAAGAAATTTTTAGTCCACATCGCTTCTGGTGAAACCAAATATTCTTTGTTCCAGTCCAAAACAGTGTTTTTTCCAAAGCAACGTGTTTCCAGTGTGAAAGCTGGACAGACATAGGTAAATCAATATCAAGGCGAGTCACATCCTTGGCCAACTGATCTGCTCTATCATTTCCGAAATCACCACTATGGCCTCGAACATAAGCAAAATGGATGTCAGCAACAGCATCAAGGGACTGAACTGAATGCACTATGGACTGAATGCCGACAACGAGTTTCGCTACAGCAGCTGTATTGAAAATGCACTGTTACCGTATTTTTCACAGTAATATTTATTTAATTAAAGTGATTCAGTTACGGTATATCGGATTTTTGTTCCGTGACATGTTCCGGTAAAAATGGATTTTACTGTAAAAAATACCGACACTCTGAGTGTCGTTGGTACTTTCTAAAGTAAGTTTTTGAAGTGCAGTTAAAAGTTATAGAATAATATCTTTCTGGACAGATTTAAGACCGAAGCAATGAACAGAATATACTTCTGGAGAGTGACGTCTCAGCAAATGATGAATAGTATTTTCCGAATAAAGAAGAAACATTAAAAATACAGAATTGTCGAAAACATTTCGGTATTTCTTCGTATTGTTAACAAATTGAGAAAAATGGACTTACTTGCAAGCTCTGGACACTCGAGAGGGGATCCTGCCCCTGCGGAGCAATCTGCCTTTTGGCACCGGTTGTGGAGGCCACAGCTGCGATAGTTGGGGGAGGATAGAGAACGGGTCCTTCAGACGCCGTCACTATGTAAGAATTACGGGTGACAGGGTTGTCCACTTGAACTTGGGCAGGACGTATCATAGGTCTCTGGCATGTAGGACAGGTGACACATTGGTTACAGGAGGCACAGGAAGAGCAGCATCCACCAGCACCTGGAACATTTACACCGCTGGGGTAACCCCCGTTCGCTTTAGCTGCGTCCAGAAGCACTCTTAATGATGCAATAGCATGCAACTGCGAAGCCTTTTCATCCAATTTTCCTACAACGAAGAAAAAAGAAGATGTTTGCATAAAATGCGGAAACGAAAAAAAATACACGTTTCAATAACAGTAATCTCGTGCTATTTCGATAATTTGTGAGCATTAGTTTTTGGTTGAAAATGTATTAAACTACACTTAGGTAATAAACAAATGGTCAAAACCTTGAGAATATGGTAAATTGTAATGTGTTTTTGGATCTATGAGAACACCAAAAAGCTGGGTAATTTTTAACGAAGAGCTTTGCTAAGGACTTTACTTTAACCTCTTATTTATTGTAAAAATAACAATGAAAAATGGTTTTATAACTTGCGATAAAATTAGGTAATTTTATCTTGATATCTTTGAGCATGGCATGAAAAACCATTTATTCTACTAAATATACTTTTCAGTTTTTAATTTTTTACTAAATGTGGGGTAATAAGAACTAAAATTTTAAAAAACAGAGTTTCCCTTAAAACACTACCATTTAAACGGAAAGATTACATAATGAATTGTTTAAATACCGTATATTTCAGTTTTATCAATCAGAATTACGCTTTGCTTTTTTTCTACTGGAAATGTCATTGACTTACAGAGTGGAAATTTTCCAGAGTTTTTATCTACTTGTAAGTATTTTTCAATTTAAGAAAAGAAATTCTCCTGAAGAAAGGAATTCTCTATTTTTTACGCCAGACTTAGAATCTAATTCTTCTCAGCTAACTCCATGGGAACTACTTTGTTCAGATCAGCATATTTGTCACTCACATCGTTAAATTACTGTATTACTTGTGGGCGACATTCTTAGACAATAATTGATAGAAATTTTAAAATAAAGATTATTTAGATCAATAAAAATACCGTTTCATATGCATACGATTAGCCAGTTAGTTATGGTTTGCTATGCGATTATCAACCTTTATGGTGTGGGTATTTATGATCACAAGTTCCTTTTTCAATAAATAAATAACTGTTTTTTAACTTATTCGACTCGTTGGGGACCATCATCCCTATCATAAATTGCACTTATTCTTCTAAAATGTTGCCTTCCTTACGACACTGCATGGCTTTTCCTCTGACGATCTATATCAGCAACTATCGCAACATCAATAACACTTCTGGGAATTCGTCCATAGCAAAGTTCTCCTCATCGTTTTTCTAAAGTTTTTTAATTGGTTCAAAATCACTGATAAGAATGTGGTTTACACCTTCATGATTGCTTCAAAACAATTTGATGACTAAAATACTGTTTAAGGGGCCACTGGATGTTCAAAACAAAGCAGTGCAATTCTTATTTCAAATAACAGAAAACTGCTAGCATTAGTAGAAGTCTGTGTACAAAATTTCAGTAAAAAAATAATAATTAGTTTTAAAATTATAGCTAAAAGTTTGGTTTTTAATTGTTGGTAATTAAAAAGTTTCTTGCGAGCAAATTTAATTTTTTTAAATAAATTTTTTTACCCAAATACAATGTTTATAAACATTTAAATAAATTTAAGAGTGGTGATGGTAACGTTTTAAAAATAAAATGTAACTAGGAGTGAAATTTTTTATTTTGTCTTAAGAAAACAAGCTTCATTTATGTTTGTTCAAAAATCAAAAAATTAACTTAAGATATTGAGTTAATCAAATGCATTTAGAAAACAAGACACATCGAAGAATACCTTTAAAATTTCAATAACAATAAAACAAAAACTGGTTAGCAAGGAACTTTTTAGGGTTCTAAGAACACTAAGGACTTGCATTGCAGAAAAAGTAACTTTGTCAACGAAGATTATTTAATTATGTATGAACCTTAACAAATTCCCAATTTTATACATCGGTAAGAAAAACTTTGATTTAAATACGATTTGTTGCCTACTACTTAGTCTACTGATGTTACAAAGGCAAATTTTTATTTTATTATAAACTTGTTTGCGTACATCGAAACTTTTTTCTTCAATACTTGAACAAATTCATTAAAAAATTTATTATGATTATTATTTAAAGGAAAAATATTTTTATTACTAGATGGAGTCAATTTATACACATTTTTAGGTCTTTAATAATTATAAAATTAAAGAAAAACATGCAAATGGGGAAGAATTATTAAATTTATATTTAGATTTAAGCTAATCTAAAATCGACTGGTTTTGGACAACTTATCCATTTCAGTCTTTTTGGAGGAATTTTTAAGGGATTTGCAATACTATCAGGCTTTAACTTTTTGTTACCATCCTTCTTATTTACTCTAAGTTGAGATTCTACAAAATGAACATGAAAGGAAATTCGAAATACAGTTTTACATTTTCATACTTAAATTAAATCACATTAAATGATTCAGAGATTAAATTTTGTAAACATACTCCCATTAACTTTCCTACAACATAAACTAATTAATTCAGCAATTTATAGGAAGTATTTTAATGAAAAATGAAACATTTATTGATCCAAAAATGTATGAAAAATTGCAGATTAAACAGATTTCTTATTATAAATGTAGGCAAGCCATTTGAACTTTAAGTGATATATTATGAGTAACTAAAAAAATTAAATGAGCCAGGAATGAAACGCTAACTATCTGACATATTAATGAATCGAAAGGAAATACAATCAGAAACAGGAAAATATTTAGTTTTAACAAAACAAAAGGAAATACTTAAAAGTGAATACAAAATTTTGCGATTCTGAGATAAGCTTGGCTTATTCCGCCAATCTCTTGCCTTTATTTACTTGGTTTCATACCACACAAACACTCAAAATTGTTAAATAAATTATTAATGTTGTTTAAAGGTCATATTTTAAATAAATATTTGCTTAATGCAATTTTCAATAATATTTCTAATATTTGATATATAGTTAGAACTGAACAATTCAAGTAATCCCGAAAAGTTATTCGCTTATTAATTTTTAAAGAAACAGACGAAACAAGCATTCCGAAACAAATTCTAACAACTTAAGGTCGTTTATATACTGCATATATAAGTAAATAAATTCAACAAATTGTAAATAAATTAGTATTTTCCTCGGATAAGCGAGCTCCACTTGCAGTTTAAGAGTTATATTTTCTGCAATTTATTACCCATTTCTTCTTTCTTTCGAGATCTGATTGAAATCTTACCATTAGAAAGCCTTTTCTTTAAAACTGTCCGTCCAATTAATCGCTGCGCAATTACCCATATCAATAATTTTAAGTATCTAAATGGGCATCAAACTCACACGCTAATGTTAACACTACGCAATTAGCGAACTTGTTTGCTCCATAATGGCGGATAGTTCAGCTCCCACTATAGAGGAGCCTCAACTCAACCAACAGCTGCCCGCAATAGGCTCTTAAACAAATACTTTGGACATATGATACATAAACATCTGCAAATACGATGCTTCCTTTTGCATTTATGACAACGGGCTTTCTCTTTCCGGAGGTAGATGTTGAGAGCCAATAGTTTTTTCGCATAAACATACACTGACTGCACTTTACTTTTAAAAACAACCGAAAAATGCGTTATGCTTTTCCTGTCATACTTTATGTTATAAATAAATACTTGTGTTCCTTCTTCTGTATTTCAGTCTAATAACAGAGTTCAAACTTAATACTTGTTAAGATTCATGTTCAATTCTCTCTAAATCTTTCAAAAGTCCCGGGTATGGACCAAACGTTGCACTTTACTAGATAGTAGAAACAGTTTATCAAAATGAAAATTTTATTGAGAGAAAGAACCAGATTTAGTGCAAATATATATAGATTGCGATTGAGCAAATCTCTTGATTTTTACAGGCTTCATTTATTTATTCAATCTTTATTGATTACTATAACACAGCAAAGGGCTTGAATTTTAACAGCTATAAGTTCCTTCTTTACTACTTACTAAACTCAAACATCCATGGCTTGTTTCCTTCTAAAGATTAGGATTTCAGTAAGCAACAGCAACTTTTTTTTGTATTAGAACGTTAACATTACTGCTGTTCTATCAGTTTTTTCATCGATTTATTTGCGAGTTCAAGAAGTTATTTGCCAACTCGGACCAATGCTAAGCATTTGCTTGGTCAAATTTATGCTAAACATCTGTGTGCCTCATTTCTTATAGCTAAATCATTTTCCGGCAATTTGGAAGACTATTTCCTAAACCAAACAAAGACTTACTATCTCCGACTAGCTATCGACCTATAAGTTTGCTTTGCACTCTTGGGAAGATACTGGAAAGAATGGTATATACAAGGCTCAAACCATACCTAAGTTGTTTACCAGACGAGCAGTACGGGTTCAGGGCGAAACTCGATACTACTAAGCAGTTGTTACACATAGTTGATTATGTTGGCAGAGGGTTACATCTAAAACAGACTGCGGCTTTGTTGATGCTTGATATTAGTAAAGCGTTTGATAGAGTTTGGCACAATGGAATAATTTATAAATTGATTGAACTTGAATTCCCGAAAGGATTAATAAAATTTATTAACAGTTATTTGGCAGAGAGAAACTTTCAAATTAGAATGAAAAACGTATGCTCCACGGCGAGGAGTATTAGAGCATGCGTACCGCAAGGTAGCATACTCGGACCAATTTTGTATATCCTATTTACACATGATTCCCCAATCGATAGGGGCGATTGGAACAGTCTGACTGCATTTTATGCAGATGACACAGGTGTCATAGTAAAATCTAGTGATCCAAACATGGCTATAGAGAAACTGCAGGGTAAGATTCACGATTACGAAGAATGGTGCTTAGATTGGAAATTCGAAGTAAATGCTCAAAAGTCCCAACTATTGATTATCCAGAAGAACAGGAAATCAATTAGAGAGCATAACGACTTAGTACTTTTTAAACAAGTGATACCAAGAGTAAACAAAGCAACCTACTTAGGTCTAGTTATTAACAGCAGACTGACTTGGTCGGATCATGTAAAAAATGCTAAAAATAAAGCCAATGCCGCAACTCGAAAGCTGCAAGTAGTCATGTACAGTGAAAAATTGAGCTTAAAACTAAAGAGGTTAATGTACACCTCCATGATTAGACCAATCATGACCTATGCCTCTATTTTAT